TTTTTCAGGCCATTCTCATACAGATCAATGTTTGGATCAGTATTTGATGACAAGTCCCAAGGAAACATGCAGACAACAGAAGATTGTATTATTTGTGAAACAAAACCGGGAGCACTTCTGGTCCATGAATATAGTTGTACAGCATTGCAAAGCAGGAGTTAATAATAGCACTGTCTTCCCATCTAAGTTCACCTTATTGCTTCTTTATAAGAACCTACACAGGAAATAAAGCTACAGTACAAGTCAGCATTTCATAATTTCATATCACAAGTTAACTTGAATGAAATCTCTTTACTTTAGGGCAAATTCTTCAAGTAACAGTTCTGCATCCACTGTAGACTCAATCTTGCATTTCACGTATGAGTCATATCCCGCTACTCTTCAATATCATCTTCTGGGAGCTTAGGCCCCACTGCTTCCAGTTATGTTAGTGACCCAGGCACAAGTGTTTTTTGTAGCTGTAAAAATTTCTCTTTATGAAATGATGACATTAAAAGTTTGCAGCTAGACAGGATCATCAAGGCAAAATACTGTGTTTGATAACCCAGAGACTGTAAAGAAGAATAAATGACTTTGTAAGTCTCTCTAACCCAGCTTTCTTTATGGGCGGTATGCAAAAAAACAATCAGCCCTCCTGCAGAATGTTCCTGGGGTTTCTAAGTTTGTCAGCGGTCTCTGACATGCCAGGAAGTCTCTGATCTCTCATTCAACAGGCTATTTTACCCTAGCATCTCTGAAATGTTTAGTTCTTTCTTGTGGTTCATTCTCTAGGTTGCCTGTCAAAAGCAGTAAGCAGCTGTAATTAAACATGTTCTTACAGAACTCCATACTGTTGCCTCAAAAAGATTTTATTTTCTGTAAGACTTTCCCCTCTGTTCAAGAGACAGATGTACAAATTCAATTAGAATTCAGTTCATTGATTCAGCTAGAACAGGAGATGCAAATCCCTACTTTGTCTACAAATGACTGAGATCCTTGAAGCGTAGCGTTCTATAAAGATACCAGGAAAAGGAATTTGAATGTTAGAAAATATTAACAAATGAATAAAGAACTAAAAAAGTCATTATGCCACTGTATAAATCCATAGTTAGCCTACACATTGAATGCTCTGTGCATTTCTCCATCTTAAAAACTCTACAGCTGGCTTGGGAAAAAGGTACAGACCAATCTGAGCAAAGGTATGAACAAGCTTCCACACAAGCCATTATTGAACAGACTAAGGTTATTTAGCTTGGAAAGGAATATGGTGGAATATCACTAACAGAATCAAGAAAATAAACAGGGGATAACCATTGTTCTCAGATTCAAGGACTTGGAACATGAACTGAAATTAGCAAGTAGGAGTTTCAAAATGAAGATTCATAGTTTCTTTTGGCAAACATTTCTACAGTTTAACTGTGCCTTAACTATGTATTCTGAAAATTTACATGGGCTCAAAAAGCATTGAGGAAATTCACAGAGGATAAATTCATTAAAGACTTATTAAATACAAAATCATCACTTTTGGCTCACAAATGGCAAGTCACAGATCACCAAATACTAAGAGTATTCAGGGGACGTATCACTATGCTTACTTGTTCTTGCATTCTTCCCTAGGCATTTACTGCTGGTGACAACATACTGAGCCAGATGGACCTTCAGCCATTCTTAGCTGGTCAGGCATATCCACATACTACTATGCATGTACAGATACTCTGTTTAGCATACTGATTGGGATACTCCCAGCACAAAAATATGGAGCTTGGACCTTAAGGAAGTTTCATATTAAAAAGTTGTTTTGTAATTTATCAGTCTTTAAAAAAATAAAAGCCTTTTATTATCCTGTTTCAGAAACAAAAAAGTTGTTTCCCACCAAGTTTGTTAACTGCTACTGCTGCATAGTTTAACTTACTTCCCTTGACATAGCAGTTCTACTAACCAGTAAATAATTTCAAAATGTGAATAATTTTTAAAGAAAAAAAAAAGCAAGCAACCTCCCTGCCAATTCAATTACTTTTTTTTTCTTCTCATTTGAAACATTAGGATTTTCTACTAGCTGATATTTTGTCATGCTGCATCACTGTCATATGATAAATTCAATCAAGGGCACACAACAGCTACTTTAAAGGCTAACACCCTAGGCAGCTGAAGTAGCTAAAAGTTAGATCAACATAAGGATCCATCTTACTAACGTCACTACCTCTAGAACATAAGCAAACTGCATGCACAATCCAAAAGACGTAAGTTTTTGCCTTTTATTATTTCAACACAGCCTTTTTGTAATGCATTGTTAAAATCCTAATTGAATCAACACATCAAATAAAAAGAGCATTTTTGTCTGGCCAAGGTCTGTCTAGGTATCATTTTTCACCACCAGGAATATGTCATTAAGCAGACAGAACATTAACCACATTCCACAGTGACACTGCAATATACAAGAAATATCCCTCTGTGCTGGAATCAAATTATCATCTTGCTGACACCAGGAAACCTCTGGTGAAGCACAGTAAAGTTTACCTTTGAAAGGAAATAACATGAACCTTAGACCTTCCTCGTTATTTCAAGCTGCTGTCTTTTTTCCAGGGCTTTATGACAGGGCATTTATTAGTATAGCAGCATTCAGATAGTCTAATTGATGAGGTTTCCTCATGGTTTTAAACTACCCGTTTTAGAAATTCAGTTTGTCTTAAATTGGTAAAATCTGTACTTGGAAGTTCAGAGTTCCTCATCCTTGAAGAGCAATCACATACTTTCTTATCTAAGCATTAAAGACCTATAAAAGCACAGCTGAAAGTTACTGTCTGTCTTACTCATGAAAGATGAAGGAAGTATCCTTCACGGTTGAGGCAACATTATACAGTCTGCTTGCGTGCATGTATTTTACTCTAACAATTATGGATTTCCCATCTTAATTTTGTACATTTGAATATTTTTCAGGAAGCTTACGTCTGTGTTTCTTAAGCTGTGGTAGTGTTCATAAGGGAGCAAGTGACAAGGACAGAGTGAAAGGTTAAGAGCTAGCTAGCTTACACAACCAGAATGAATGCAAGTCAAGTCACGATGGTGCTTTACCCAGGCTGTTCGGGATGGAGCATGTGAATAATGGAGTTTACTTGAAAGGGACAGCACAGGCAAGACAGCATGGAAAGTTCTCATATAAAGACAACTGTCATAAAACAGAGCTTTCAGCAGTCTAAGGAACTGTTCAATATTATAAAGCATCTATGTGAACTCTGTTCCCTCCTGAAATATCACCACTGTATTTACTTTCACAAAGATGACTTTATATGATTTTATTTTTTAAGTGTGAGAAGTTTAATCAATAAACAGAAAATTTCAGAAACATTGTATATATAAAGAAATTATTTCCACTAATAATCTTTTGTTTATGGAAAACTGTTTGCAGACACAGTTCACAACTAAAGAGTTAAATATTTAAAACATTTCACTAAACATGCTTTATATCCAAATAAAAACATAGTGAAATCTCTGTCCTGAACTAGTTGAAATCATACATATTTACTAATTGCTGGCAGGGATCCTCAGTTCAATCCAGGTTTAAGTCATACTTAAAAATCTCACTCTGCAAAGCACGGTAACTTGAAACTTCCACTAATTTTATCATCACAAAAAGATGTCAAACATCTTGCAGAGTCAAGTAGGATGTTTTTATTTCAAAAAGCATCAGCAGTAACTTCAATGGCTTTATTTACATATGTCCCAGATGAGATGTACAAGACGAAAAATAAGAAAAGTGTCACAGGAGTACAAAGATTTGTATAAAATTTGATTATCTTCAATAATCCAAAAGGCGATATAAATTAATGTGTAGAGCACAGGATTTCCCACTGTACTAGTTTGACTGTATTCCATCTGGATTATTTACTGCATTACCCTTCTAATATTCTATCTAATTAAAGATGCCTACATACTATGCTGTTTGTTATTACACTGTCGTTGAATGAAGCACAGAAAGGAGGGAGTAAAAATAGTAGTGAAGATAGTAAAACACAAAATTTCACATAAGAAATGAGACACAGTTTGAGAGAAGTGTGGGGTTTATTACAGTTTTGCCATTATATTAATGGATGGCAAGTGTTCAGATCCACGAAGGTCAGCACTCAGTTCCTTGAGATCACAAGGTTCCTAAAATGAGTCTGTCGATCTGAGCCACTGTTCAAAAGGAAATTTTCCCAGCAGAGGAGCTATTCTTTTGAATTCATTATTTCATAATAGGTTGAAGGTGTGTTCTCATAAAGATTCAAATCTAAGCACATTAAAAAGTTGAATTTCTTGGAGTGTTAGCCATACAATAAGCTGCAAATGTTCACTTTTCCATGCCATTGCAGTACGAACTTTTGGCTAAAGCAAACCAGTCAGTCTAAACAGGTGGCAAGTACCAACAACCCAACTGCTCGCAGAAAGCTGCTGAAGCTTACGGAAAGATTTACTAGTTAAAGTGAGGGACAGCAGAAGGTTTCTAAAGGGCACAAATGTATCACAATACCAAGAGTTTAAGAATGATTCACTTGTACATGTATAACAAAGAATATTATATCTATGGGGTTTTGTCAGTATGAGCTTTTGAAGGGAATGGCACTGTTATTGTGGAGATAGCTCCATTTGTTGAACATGTACATTGATCATACTATTTCTAGTACTTTGAGGTATTGCTTTAGATTACAAAGAATGCTGTCTTTCTTGGCAAGATTTTCTTTACTCCAGGGTTGCCCAAATTAAAATTGCTTTCCTACTCCTTTGTGGAAAAGCACAGTATCACTCTAAGACTTTACTATGTACTATAGTAAACATTGGAGAGGTCATTCCATTCCTGTTCATGTTAGAGGCAATTTGGCAATTGGTTTTTGTGGAAGAAACTTGAGATACCTTCATTTTATCTTTGCCAGTCATGGTAAAGGAGAAATAGGAAGTATAGGAGGAAAATCTTGAAGGAAATAAATGAACACACAAAGAGTAACTTAAGCTGATTTATGTAAATGAATGAAAGAAAATACTACTACCTTTGATGAGACTATTCGGTTATCTGGAAATCTCTGTGGAATGTATGCTTCAGTGCCTGGAGGTGGTTCACGATGCCCAACATAAATAGTCCGACTGTCCACCCAATTCTCTTCTCCAGCACACTACGGGGGAAAAACAGTCATCGTGTCAGTTCACTCAGTATTTCTGCAGTAAGATAAGTCACACACTGATGATCATGTGTCTGATCATCAACACATACATGGCCATCAGTGCGTGACCCCTCACACTTCTCTGTATAATCTCAAGACCACTAAAACTCATAAAACTAAGTCAATTGTCAAAACTCTGCCTTAATTGCACTGCATTTTCCCTTAAGGCAATAAAAGGGAATCCATTAAAATTACTATTCTGATATTTTAGTTTTATAAACTGTCCTGGTTTCGGCTGGGA